AGTGATATACCACATCCTGTTATAAAAGGTTTTGTAACTCATGCTTAAAGGACCACTATAGTGCCAGGAAAACATACTTGTTTTCCTGGCACTATAGTGCCGTAAGGGTGCCCCCACCCTCAGGGTCCCCCTGCTGCCGGGCTCTAGGGGGTGGAAGGGGTTAAACTTACCTCTTTCTCCAGCGCCAGGCTCTTTCTCCAGCGCCAGGCTCTTCTCCTCCTCTCCTCCCTCTTCTTCTGTCACCAGCTGAATGCGCATGTGCGGCAAGAGCCGCACGCTCATTCAGCCAGTCCATAGGAAAGCATTCTCAATGCTTTCCTATGGACGCTGGCGTGTTCTCACTGTGAAAATCACAGTGAGAAGCGCGGAAGCCCTCTAGCAGCTGTCAATGAGACAGCCATTAGAGGCTGGATTAACCCATAGGTAAACATAGCAGTTTCTCTGAAACTGCTATGTTTACAGAAAAAAAGGGTTAATCCTAGCTGGACCTGGCACCCAGACCACTTCATTAAGCTGAAGTGGTCTGGTTACCTATACTGGTCCTTTAAAGCTAGTTTGATGGATGGTTGTCACAGGGGAAATTAAAGGGACACTGTAGTCACCAAAACACCTTTAGCTCAATGAAGCAGTTTTTGTTTATAGATCGTGCCCCTGCAGTCTCACTGCTCAATCCTCTGCCATTTAGATGTTAATTAACTTTGTTTATGCCGCCCTAATCACACCTTCTTGCATGTAACATGCTCAGACTTACTAAACACTTATCTAATATTTAAACTTCAATTATTGTTCAGTCTGTTTAAAGGGACACTATAGTCACCAGGACAACTACAGCTTAATATAGCTGCTCTGATGTCTATAACCTGTCTCTGCAGGCTTTTTGCTGTAAACACTGCTTTTTCAGAGAATTGATCAGTGAGACTTTAAATCTGTGATCTATACTCAAAAACTGCCTACTTAAGCTAAAGTTGTTTTGGTGACTATAGTCTCCATTCAAGAGTGCATGTTCTTTAGAGAAACTGTAATGGAGCTTGCAATGTTTTTATCAAACACAAATAAGAAATCTGGCATTCAACACTGTGTTATAATCTGGCAGCGCCATGGTGGGTACATGAGGATGAGGTGGGTCCAGATAAGCCTATTTCTGCACCTTCACTTCTCCTGCTTATTAGATGTACCATGTTAATTAAGTTAGCTTAAGACTTGATAGCAAGATTGTAAAACAATTTGACTGTAGTATTAGCAGTCATTACACTTTTGTATCATCTTTTGTCTTTTGAGTCTCAGGAAAGGTTTGTGCATTTGATCTACATACTTTCTTTCCTGGGGGAATTAGATGTTAATCTGACTGAGTTCTCTGGATGCTGGATGAATCATATGTGTGCAATTCTTATCTTCCAAATGTGGCATCTAGAAGTGTAGGCTGATGAAGCAAACAGTATCAGTCTGTAAAATTCTGTATATACTGTACATTCTCTAAATGCATTGCTCTTTTTCAGGACTCATTTCCTATGCCTTTATTTCAATAAAAATAGGGGTTAATACAAAATGGATGGTGATTTTTACTTGCCTTAGTTAAGTTCTGTACCTGTACCTATCAATCAGTAATAAGGAATAATTAAAAAGGAAAAATATATCAAAATAAGGACTAAAAAATATTTTGAAACACATAGTAGAAACATGAATTTTAAAGATAATTTTTTTTTTCTTTCAGGGACTTGGCACGAAAAGACAGGAACGGTGCATCAGATCCATTTGTTAGAGTACAATACAATGGAAAAATACAGGAGAGTTCAGTAAGTGATTCATATTTAATAAATGATTTATAATTATTATCTTTCCAGTTCTAAGAACTCATATGGGGAAATGTAATGGTTTGATTAACAGGAACAATCATTAAACTCTTCATGTTCGTTTTTGAAAAGGCCACAATCCTATATTTTAAAAGATTTTATAGTTTCTATTCCTTCCTCCACCTTTTTTCATCTTCTGCCCAGTGCATATCAGATTGCTGACATTTTTGCATAAAGTATGGCTAAACCAAGTCTATACACTGTATGAAAGGACTGGATCACAGTATAAAACTGTGGAGTGGTTACAAACACAGAACACCTATACTGGGAGAGGTACTCTCACTGTTCTATAGCTAGCCAAAATTGAATAATGTCACTCCCAGGATTGATTCAAGAGGACCACATTTCTTCCAGGGAACTATTTAAAGGAACACTATAGGGTCAGGAACACAAACATGTTTTCCTGTCCTTATAGTGTTAAAAACACCATCTAGCCCCCCTGTCCCCACCCTCTAAATATAGTAACATCTTCCTTGTATTCAAGTCTGCAATTACTGCCTCTGCCTCTGAACTGCCTGCTGACTTAATCAGAAATGATTCTGTGAGCCAATCACAATGCTTTCCCTTATGATTGTCTGAAACTGTCAAGGAGTCAGATCAGGGACAGAGCCAGCACAAGTACAACACAGTCCTGGCCAATCAGCATCTCCTGATAGAGATCAGTTTAATTAATGTATCTCTATGATGAATTTTCAGTGTCTGCATGCAGAGGGTGAAGACACTTAATGCCAATACTGCACAGTGTGCAGCACTGCCACAGGAAGCACATCTACTAGCCATCTGAGGAGTGGCCAGTGGAGTTATCTCTAGGCTGTAATGTAAACACTGCTTTAAAAAAAATAAAATAAAAAAAAACAGACAGTGTTTACTGCAAAAAGCCTGAAGAAAATGATTCTACTCACCTGAACAAATAAGCTGTAGTTGTTCTGGTAACTATAGTGTTCCTTTAATTGTTTACTGTTTGTCCACATTTTTTGAAGCATCCACTAATCTTGAAAAGCTCTGTCAGGCCTCATCCTATACACCCCATGTTTTCTCGATTCTTAATCAGATTCTTGTTTTTGATGACCATAGGCCTCTCTCCTTTGTTATGGGTAAGAAGGAAATTGCAAGACCATCATGGATTGGCCTCTGTATTGACAGATGATTGTTGTGATGCAGTCACTGCTCACACTACACTGTAAATCAACACACACTTTCCTTTAATGATATGTACATTACTTTGAGGATATGCAAAGGATGGATGATCTTTTGGCAGTCATGATGCAAGGATAAACAGAATATGGGCAACCGTGGATCCATTACAAAGACTATGAGTCATTACCACATGCATAAAAAATTCAAATAGCAATTATACTTATACTCCCAATAGACGACAGTCACATAATCAGGGCAGTATAGTGCATGTAAAAAAAGAATAAGGAGGTGGCGGGGCCTGGCTGCCAAACTAAATGGCCGCATGCATAGTGAGCTCTGATCGAGAATCTGCAAAATCTCTACAATATTGACTCTTACTAAAAATCAGCAATCTATGCGCTGGATACAGCCTACAATCAACCCTGCTATAATTCAAAACTTAGCCGACACATGCCAAGCAGATTGAACTCGAAATGCCACTGCGGCCTACCCAGAGGTGAGAGCGTGGGAGAGGCGGTCGATCTCCCCGCTTGCCTTCCCACTGGAACAAGCTGAAACAGTACGGGATCCCGTTCCCTCCCTGCCGGTGGGAGTTATCCCAGGCCCATCACCCCAGCTACACTCACCGGTCACTGGTGGTCCCATCTCCCCGGCACGGGTTGCGACAGGAGGCTTGTCCCCACAGCCGACCTAAGATGGCAGACACCGGGCCACCCACCATGCCACAAGGCCTGGCAGACTCAAATCTAACTAAGCTGGACAAAATCTTGGAGGAATTCTGGCGGAGACTTGAGGAGAGGCAGCAGAGGGCAAACATGCCGCACCACTCACCTCCTGCACCTCAAAGGTTCTTGCTGATCCATCTGAAGCAGAATGGTACCGCACCCAGGTGACGAAAGAGGAAACAAACCTGGCGGTCGACTCCTGGGGTTAAGCATGCCGCAGAGCCCCCCTGTTGAGACCCTCTTCCGATAGAAGACTTCAACACCTCCGCCAGGTTGCGTGCGGTCCAAGACTCCGCAGCGAACTGGGTGCCCTGGACTCCTCAGGAGAGAGCCTGTATACTGTGTGGAGAGTCGGCCGTGGTCGGAGACCGACAAAGGCAACGGGAACTGGAATCCACAGAGGTTCAGTCCATCATGCATACCCCATGGCTGACATGGACAGAGACTAAATGGCAGAGACTGTTTGAAGTGGCCCATTAGAGGCATCGGATGACTCTCTGACCCTCCGTGACTGGAGCTCCCTGACTGTTGCCGGACCAAATACCTGACTGTTACATCATTGCTAGTAAAAACCATTATAGCTACATAGGTGATGGTGTATTAAGCATTCTGTTATCGTTTGCATACTTATGAACCATCTTGACTCTCCTAATACCTTACCGCTAGCCCGACCATTCATTCCTTGCATAAAGTTTTTCTTGTTATAATTTACTATTACTAACAATGTTCAGGGCCCCTATATAAATCTATGGTATAAGCATGACCACTATATATAAAAAATGTGCATTTTCTTGTATGCCATGACATTGGACACTTGTTTTGACTATGTTGGTTTATTTTCCTGTCGTGGCATCGCAGACCAGATTGTAATTCATTGAAGAATAAAAAAAGAATAAGGAAATAATAATAGTGCAGATCTGTGTGAATAGTTTTGTTTATACTGTATTAGATTTATACTGTAATCACATTCAATATGTTGATTGGTAAATAAGTAGTAAAAATAACAATTTATTTGAAACCCATAGGTTTAAAAAGCAATAAAACAAAGTATGGTAAAACTCTAATGCATAAAAAGTATGCAACCAGGTTGCCACTTACAGAATAGAATGGGGAGTATAACGGTACATGTACCCGCTACTCACAACCACGCTTTCCCACATTGGGGGTTTCCCATGAAGATTTGTGATCTCAGCGGTGTCCGTCTGGTGGAGTCGAGGCTCTGAGCTGTGTAGCTGCCGTTCGTATTTCCCATTCACGCTTGGGTCCGCCCACCTGGATGCGTAATTACGTCACGTCTACGCGTTTCGCCGTGCACAGACAGCTTCGTCAAGACGTTTTGATCTGCTTCAAACGTCCTGACAAAGCCGTCTGTGCACGGCGAAACGCGTAGACGTGACGTAGTTACGCATCCAAACATATACATGCTCAGTAACAGACACACACTAACACTCACTAACAGACACACACATTACATTCTCACTAACACACTTACAATTTTTAAAAAAATGTTTGCTTACATTTTGGTGGCTTTTTCCCGGTGGTCCAGTGGGGCTTGCTGCAGCTCGGCGGGCAGTCACACGGTGAGCAGTGGAGGTGGGTAGAGAGGGAGTTCTCTCCTCTGATCCTCCTGCTCAGCTCACCCGTGCTGGAACCAGAGTGACGTCATATTCTGGCTCCGGCATCACTGAGGTGCGGGCAAGGGAACTGAGCAGGAAGAGCTCAGAGGAGAGCGCTCCCTCTCTACCCACCTTCAACATCATTGCATGCCAGCTTCGGGGGGGCCCTGAGGTGGCCAGCCAGCAAGCCGGCCAGCTCTCTGGTCACCCAGGGCAAGAGGCTGGCAAGGCATTTGCCAGGGTGTTTGGGGGGGGGCTTTTTTTTGATGCCCCCCCTGAAAGTGCCGCCCAAGGCAAATGCCTTGTCAGCCTCGCGCTAAATACAGTACTGATTGTGCCAGCAAGATCCAATGCTCTTCTGTGAGATGAATGTTCCCACAATACCAAGATGAGGATGAAGATTTCCACTGAGAATGACTTCCAATGACTTTGAACACAATAATATGATTGTTAGCTATCTTCTTTTCTGCAGTTTAAAATAATATAACAACAGAGAATGCAACAAGGGGATTCTTATAACATAATTATTTTAATTTCATGAGCACATAGTATATTAATATTACACATGATATTTAATAGTGGGTAATTTTATATATATATATATATATATATATATACACACACACATATATATATATATATATATATATATATATATATATTTGTGCTCGGAATTTAAATACGTGATGGATAGTAACTGTGAGCAAAGTTGGTTGTGGTGTGCCGAAACCAACGTACGAGTGGGCCTGTAAATAAAAGAGGGCCCACCAAGGATAATGTAGTTAAAACAGGGTGTAGGTGGGTGGGGACAATCAGCTGAGCGGCAGCGGTGAGTAGGGGCTGGGAGCTTAAGTAGGGGACTTACTCCTCCCACAAATTCAGGCCTAATGGCCTTTCTACTTGTGCTCGGAATTTAAATACGTGATGGATAGTAACTGTGAGCAAAGTTGGTTGTGGTGTGCCGAAACCAACGTACGAGTGGGCCTGTAAATAAAAGAGGGCAAAAAGATAAATTCGAGAAAATACACACTTTATTGCATTTTACAAGACCAAGTTTCTGAAAGCTTGGCGAAGCTCTTTCTCTGGTTGCGGAATATATGCGTTATATATGGAGGATTTCCATCGCCCGAGCCTTTTGATGATGTGGACCGGTGCGTTTGTGCTTGAGGCTGCTGAGGCGGCTCCTATGCGGAAGGAGTGCCCGGAGAATGCAGCCGGATTGTGTCCGAGCTTAGATAACAGGGTTCTGACATGTGACATTAATTTTGCCGTGGTAAGCGGGTGCCCTTGTAATGTTAAGAGCGGAGAGTCTGGCAGGTGAGTGCGAAAAGTTGACCGTAGTTGGTCGAGAACTTTCACCGGACACCAGGCATTATCAGTAGGGAAGAGAGGAATTATTGTAGGATGTATTGACCGGTTGGTTTTAGTGTACTGTTTACATTGGTGTCCACAATGGCAATTTATATGTTATACGTTTTCCCATATATATGTCACTGTAGGTTGTGAAGAAGTCATGTTACCCCCGCTGGAATGAAGCATTTGAATTTGACCTGGATGAGTCTTTTACTGAGAAATTAACCATAGAGGTTTGGGACTGGGATCTTGTCAGCAGGAATGATTTTTTGGGAAAGGTAAAGAAATACAGCATTATTTCATTATAATTCCTTATATGCTTTATGGAGCAGACACTCTTTGAAACAAAATAACTGTTGATTATCATGAAAAGAGCAATAACATTCAATTGTAAAAAATGGTTAAATATTATGTTGGGTCTTGTGTGTTTTTATTTTTAAAGGAACAATCCAACCACCATAACTACTGCAGCACATACTATAACCACTGTCAAAAGGGCGCTCTCAGCCAATGTTCTTAGCTTTGTGTTGCAGCCTCCAGGCTGCAGAGAAAGAGGCGATTGGCACCTGGTGCACCGCAGGTAAGTAGCTAAACCGTTACCAACTGGTTTGACTACTTACTCTAGCAGGGTACCAATGCACTGTTGTCACTACAGTATTCTGTACAACTTGTGGTTTTGTAGTGTTACTTTAAGTAACATTATTTTAAACATAAAGGACAATTGGTGGTGACATTTAACTAAAAACAGCAATACAAACAGTACAATTTCAATTTTTCTTAGTAGGGTTGTACCTATCTTGGAAAAGAAAACATTCCATGATAATGAATGATTTTGGCATCTTTGAATTAGGAGAGACACAAAGTCTTTACTATTTTCATTGTAGTGCCATATTCTGGAAATATTACAGCTTTCTAGAGTTTGGGTGAGGAACTTAATTAATGCCACTAGTGTCTAGAAGTATATCAAGTGCTATGGATGTGCCTGCTGTGTCCTGTCATGCCTAAATACCGGGTCCAGTTGTCATTCAAGTCTCACACCCTGCCTGCATGTTCTCAGCCAAATGGCTTTGCTCAATGTCTAAAGATGCAGTAAATAAAAAAAGCTTTCAAAACAGAAATGATTACTATAAGGATGAGCATATTGCTGCTGTGATTTTCTACAAGTAATATTACTAGGCTGCATGGAGATAGGGAAATGGAGCTCTGGAACTTATACCATAACCGAGGAAAGGAAAATAGATGAATATGTAGTGTATAGCACTCTATGACGTAAATTGCTTGCCTATATAATTAACCATAACAAGATACCAAAAGATCAAAGCTAGCTTGTTCATGTACCGAATTGAAATTTATTTTAAAAATGAAGTGTTAATGTAGACAGTAAGGATTAAATGTGTTTAGACACAGGGGTAAATATAGGTTCTGCTCTGATTAAAGTTAGAATACCTTTGTTAAGGTAAAAAATCAGCTTGTCATAGCACTTCTGTGCTGTATTTATAGTAATTGCACTTTGAAATGTGCAGATGTTTGATACATTTTCTGCAGTGAATAACATAACTAGTAATGTTTGTGGGTAAACTTTTTGTGTTTTGAAGGTGGTGATTAACTTAAATGGACTTCAAACTGACTTACAAGAAGAAGGCTGGTTTAGATTGAGTCCTGGAAAATCCAAAGTCAATGTGGATGAGTAAGTTAACATTATGGGCATATTTTTACCTGTATACAATTATCAATACATGTTTTATGATATATTCTGATCATATTTATTAAGGTGTTATAAAAAGTGGCAGTCTTTATAACAAATTCTGCCAGTTTCAACAGAAATTCTCAGTACTTAAAATTCAATAAATCTGTTGCATCACAAAAAATGTATATATGTAAAAATGACAGTTCGGGTGCAAATGAAACAATAGATAAAAAAAATCTGATATATTTAATACATTGTGCTGAAAATGTACTGAAAATTAGTTGTAAACGTGGTGGTGATACTTTGATAATCATTATAATGGTAATTTAAAAAAAAAACATATATAAAAGCTGTAGAATCTTCACATTTTTGGCTTAAAGGACCACTATAGTGCCAGGAAAACATACTCGTTTTCCTGGCACTATAGGGTCTCTAGGTCCCCCCCACCCTTAGGGTCCCCCTCCCGCCGGGCTCTAGGGTGAGGAAGGGGTTAAACACTTACCCTTTTCTGCACCACTGGGCTACCTCAGCGGTGGGGACTCTCCTCCTCCTTTCCCCGTCATCGGCTGAATGTGCATGCGCGGCAAGAGCCGCGTGCGCATTCAGCCAGTCCACTGGAGAGCATTCTCAATGCTTTCCTATAGACGCTGGCGTCTTCTCACTGTGAAAATCACAGTGAGAAGCACGGAAGCGCCTCTAGCGGCTGTCAATGAGACAGCCACTAGAGGCTGGATTAACACATAGGTAAACATAGCAGTTTCTCTGAAACTGCTATGTTTACAGCAGAAAGGGTTAACCCTAGAGGAACCTGGCACCCAGACCACTTCATTGAACTGAAGTGGTCTAGGTGCCTATAGTGGTCCTTTAAGCTAAATATATCCTTCTTTACATTGCAGTAATCTTTCTGAGATATGCTACTGCTTTACTCAAAGCAAAGTGAGCTACAAATGTGTATAGCACATTGTAGAGCAGCACTGTCTTAAAGGCACATACATTTTTAAACTGCTATCCTCCTGCAACACTTTGCAAATCAGTGGAGTATCTTAAATCTTGAAACTGATGGTGGGGCTCAACTACATATCCCATAAACTGTGACTGGACAGGTGTTTATAGCAATAGATATACTAACTAGAACAATAGACTTATTTATTTGACCAGCTTCCTTGTTTTTGCTTGCTTGCTTGTACAAGTGTGTGTATATATATATATATATATACACACACACACACACACACACAACTTATACATGTATTTTTATTCTTTAAGCATTTTTGAGCATTATTTATATGATGCATTTTAAAAAGAGAAGGGGGACAATTCCAGACCGTAGTAGAATTTTTTATTTTTTTTTAAATCTTTATTTTATTCGTGCATAGAATTAACAAGCAGTTTTGCACTGCCACGACAGCTGGTGCAGACATAAAAGAAACATGCGGTAACAGTAATGTGGCATAAGAAACATCGTAGTATAATTTTAATATTATTTTTAGACTGTTTTATTAAAATTATATTTATAATTGTTTCATTTATGTTTTATTGTGTAGTAAAATCATGCCATTTACATTCATTCTTAACAAGTATGAAAGAAGAAAACGCTTTCTAACATTAGATGATCTTCCCAGCGAGAACATGAAACAATAAATCTCCGACCAAGCCATTTGCATTTATATTCTGGTTGCATAACATTCACATTTATTCCCACATACTGATTTTTCTCAGCAACTAATGTAATATCCAAATA